GAATCAAGTCGTTGAATATGATGGCAAGTCATTTCTGAGCATCAAGCAAAATCAAAATCCAAGCTCTTCTAGGAACGAGCTTCCTGTTGGGCCAATGGATTACCCCAACACCTTGGTTAATCAGCTTCCGCAGTCACGCCATCCTGTTCCAGTTCAATCTGAGCAATCTTCTATGGATCCCAACTTGCTAGTTGGAGGTAAACTGTTAATTTCAGAATTTTATTCGTCTGTTGGTTGTACTCAGGGAGTGGTTATCTTTTTTCTTTTGAATAGTTCTGTTTGTTTAATTGATTTGGCTGGTCTATGAGTCATTGATGGTATGCTTAGCTGTACTTTGGCTGCTACGCATACCATCAATGACTCTTGTACTTTTACCACTCCCCTCATTTTCATTTGTTTTTACTTGAAAAGCTACATTTGCCTATAGCATTTGAGGAAATGATTTTTTCTTCATCGAAAATGTGCAGTGATTTTGAAGGTTGCAGAGTTGTGATAATGGATTGTTAACATGTAATGAGGAAATATTGTTGTGAGGTCTCATCATAGATTAGACATTTATTTTTGAAAACTACATAGATGTATGCAGACCTTACCCATACCTTTGTGAGGTAGAGATGATTCTCAATAGACCCTCGGCTCAAAAGGAAAGTATGCGACACAAGACTAAAAGACAGCAAAGTAGCAAGATGCAGACAAATTCAACAACCGATAGTAATAGGCATCAAAGAATTTGGAACTATGCAATATCTCAATGAATAATACTACTAAGAGGACAAGGGAGACTAGCACATTCCCTCTTCCACATAGAAAACGACAACACTCAGCTACTTAATAACCTTCTACCTAATCCTTGACCTTCATACTTTCCTATCTAAGGTCATGTCCTGTGTCAAATGAAGTTGTGTCATGTCTTGTCTAATCACCTCTCCCCAATTCTTCTTCAGCCTCTACAATGAAGTTGTGTCATGCCCTGTCTAATCACCTCTCCCCAATTCTTCTTCAGCCTCTACATTTCCTACCTCCTGATACAGCCTACAACCAACCTCTTGCACCTCCATACTGGTGCATCCTCACAACTCTTCTTCACATGCCTGAACCATCTTAACCTAGTGGAATGCCACTCCTACCTTGCCTATGTAACTTCGTTCGTAATCATATCTTTCCGAGTATACCTACATATTCATTTGGTCATCCTCATCTCCGCTACCTTAATTTTCTGAACGTTGACTGGCCAATCCTCTACCCCATATAGTAGTGTTGGTCTAATCACCATTTTGTAAAACTTACCTTTAAGCTTTGACGACACATTCTTATAACACGGTACACTGATTGTGAGCCTCCAGTTCACTAACCTTGCTCCAATATGATGTGCGAAATCATCGTCAATCTGTCTCCTTGGATTATGGACCCAAGATACTTGAAGCTTCCTCGAGCTTCACTTCCCCTCCACCTTAGGCATTATATTAATGAACTTGTGAACTTGCGTTTCAGGTACTTTGTTTTAGTGCTTAACTTGAAACCTTTAGACTATGGTTTCTCTCCACCCTTCCATCATATCATTGACTCCAACACCTGTCTTGTCAATCAGTGTTATGTTATCTGTGAATAATATTACACTGCAACACCTACTAAAAAAATGGCGCTTCCCTGAACCTCATGCATAGCGGGAGCTTAGTGCACCAAGCTGTCCTTTTTTTTTAATCCCCCAAAAAAGGAGGAAGTTATATTATTGCTTACTTCCTTTTGGCATATGTAGGGTTGTCAATAGAGTTAAGAAAAAATGTACAGAAGTAAAAAATGGCGTTCCGTATGTTGTAATACCAGTGTAATGAGAAGACTGTTAAAAAATGAACTGAAAGATAAGGCAATATTTTGGAGGACAAAATGGATAGGAGAGGGGTGGGGGAGATATGATTTGTGGATTGTGGTCCTATCTAATCATGTCTGTAGTTTGGTTTCTTTGACTCTTGGAGATCTTTTGTGGTTAAGCTCTCTCTTTCTTTCTTCCCAAACTTATCCTCTGTAGTACAAATTTCATAATACCATCATCTTTTAATTTGGTGTAACAGGTTCAGGTTATAATGACAACATGAGGATGCCTACCCAAAGTCCTATGATGAATTCTAATTCCCGCTCACAGTTTGAGAGCACTCCATATGCGCCTCAGCACCAAATAACCAGCAGTCATCAGCTCCAGAGTACGAGATATGACAACAATGTTGGCCTGGCTCTTGGTCCTCCACAATCATCTTCATTCCAGACAATTACCTCATCTCTCCCACAAACCAATCTTAATCCTTTTGATGATTGGTCACACAACAGGGACAAGGGAGTTGACGAATTCTTGTCTGAGGAGGAAATTCGAATGAGAAGCAATGAAATTCTTGAGAATGATGATATGCAACAATTGCTGAGACTTTTCAGCATGGGAGGCCATGGTTCTGTAAATGTGCCTGAAGATGGATATGGTTTCCCATCTTTCATGCCTTCACCATCTCCTAGTTTCAGTTATGATGAGGACCGCACACGCCCTGGAAAAGCTGTTGTAGGTTGGCTGAAAATTAAGGCTGCAATGAGGTGGGGGTTCTTTGTGCGGAAGAAGGCAGCTGAGAGGCGTGCACAGCTCGTGGAACTGGATGATGAATGAAATCTGGTTTGGAAACATTAGGGCATTTAGACTTGACCATCGACCATTTGAATAACTATTCACAAGGCCGTGGTCATGCAGGCCCGAGTAATTAGCTTTCGACTCTAGACAGTATATTTTCCGAGGGATTAGTCAATTTGATTGTTTTTTTTTCATGTACAGAAGCCTGTACAGTACATTCTCTTTCAACGCTCTCATCGTTAACTCCATCATGCTCACTCTATCTGTTTCAAGATGTAATGTAATGTATTAGTTTGCAGACCCAAGGGAAATATGCTTTCAAGAACACCTGTGTGTTGAATTCTATATGAATTTTATGATAAAAAAAGATGCTGATTGGCTTTGCATTTGAGTGTTTAGTTAACTTATATTATGGTTTTAATTTGCTCTCTCCATTGCAATATTAGTGCCAAAAATGATTGTAATTTGTAGGTAACAAGAACATGATTTTTGGCTCAAAAGCCTCTTTGTTGACCATGCATAACAGGATAGTAATGGAGATAAATCCTCTCTAGACTGCATCACTCCACTAACATTATGCATAACTCCCATCCTTTAGAATGTTCGGTGTGTGTTAGTCCATTGATTCTTTGACCGACTTCTTTCTGATTCAACCTGGATAGGTCCATTCGAAATGACTTGAAGACCAATATTTATAGTTTTGCTATGGTTAGTGTTGCTTTTTGGCGCTATACACTCAAATAAAAAACGATGTTTGCCCTTGGGTAACAAAGAGCATCATTTATTAGGTCGTTATTGATGGATTCATAAAATTTGAGCTTAAATAGCTGTTTAAAACATTTTGTAAAATTCATGGACTAATATAAACATAAAATTGAGAGAATCTTGAATTCCTTTTTCTTGACATATTAACTCTAAGAAAGCGATGTACACATTTCGAAAATAATAAGTATCATTTAATAGGTTGTCACCATTGGACTCACAAAATTTGAGTTCAAATTGAGTTTTTCACGCATATTTGGAAAAATCAATGGACTAATCCTGAAATCATCTTTCCAAAGATTATTACGAATAGTCCATGAACTTTTGAAAATATTACTGACCGGTTCCTTTTGATCCACAAATTTTTAGAACTATCACTAATAATCTAGTGAACCATACCCACAATCTCTAGATAATCCACACCTCTCTTCTTCTTTTTAACATTTCGCGATCACGATAGAGAAATTTAATATTTTCTCAATTTTTCGTATATATTAAGTTCAAGAATTTTTAAACATATTATTTGTTGATTTTGTTTTGCCCAAATATTTTTTGAATCAACCGTAATGACTTAGTGAATCATACTTATAGCATCTACATGATCTATACCACTTTTTATAACATTTAGGGATCACAAAACAAAAATTTAAAATTTTCTCAGTTTTTCCGGTTTGTGTTAGTCCATAAACTTTTGAAATACTGTCGACCGACTTTTTTGGTTCAAAATTTTGTAGAACCCTGAGTAACGACCTAATGAACCATACTCATATTGAAAGGTTTGTTCCCTTGATCATATGATTTAATGCAGCACTTTAAGTTTCGAATACATTTAAATAAATAAAATAAATAAAATAAAAATATAAAAGACATCTCCAAAATATTGTGTTAGGAAAACATATATAGAAAAATAAGGCAAAGACATAGCACCTGTCAATTTTTTTAGTCATATTACTAACTATTAAGTAGATTATAATCAATATATTTTTGTGTAATAAAAAAAAATTAAATTATATATATATTACGTCAATTTGATTTGAACTCGGCTTGACTGTTCTTCTTATTAATGTCAAACTATAGAAATAAAAAATGATCGAGTTTTTTTTCAACGTCAAAATCAAACCAAGCCACAAATTGCGTTTTTTTAGTTTAACTTGCATGATACATCATATACTAGATAACAATGTTTTTTCCCCAAATTTTATTTTTGGTAAAGTCTCCAATCATTAAGTTAGAAATATATATCTTAAAAATTATACACAATATTTATCCGTAGAGTTAATTTTGTAATATTAGATTAGTTGCTTTATTTGAGTAGAATGTGCATAATATAACGAGTTTTATTTAAATTATTAATCCCCAAATATATGGTTTTTAAAATTTTCAATTAAAAAAATATTTTGGATTAATTTTCAAATTATATTTCATCCAATCAAAGTAGTTAAAAATATCTTAGTAGGATTAATACTTATCTAAACTTAATACAACTCATATTAGTCAAATCCTTTTCCCATAGTAATTCGTAAACAACATTTTGATAATATAAAAACTCTTCTTCCTGTTAATTAGATTTGTAATTACTATTAACATCTTCCATCTAATTAGCCAATTAGGGTTTTAAGTTACAGAGTCCATGGAAAACCATAACACATCTCCTACAAACAATGTGTCCAAAGATAATTTAATTAGTGCTAATCATATAAATGAGCTCCCAATTAGTGCTGTGTTTAGTAATAAGAACAGTAATGGTGATCAAATTATGTCTACTGAAGATGTTGAAGCTTTGATGAAAAAATTTCCTCCAGGTTTTCGATTTTATCCTACGGATTATGAGCTAATTAAGTATTATTTGGAGAGGAAGCTTGCTAATTTGCCTTTGCAACCTAACAAGATTTATGAGATGAATATTTATAAGTATGATCCTGACACGATTGCTGGTACGTATAAATTTTGAATCCGCCTCTTCATTATATTTATGATTTTTGTTTAATAAGATAACTAGGGTTTATGTGTTTTGCTTCTTTTTTTTCCTTGTTTAGGGTTTGTGTTAGGGTTTTCAAGTGATGTAGTTTATTTATTCAAAATATTTCAGGTTAATTTAATCATGTTTTTAGACCAACATTTGTTTTCCTTTAATAAGTCAATAAATACTAGATGTCTTCGTGTTTTTTCGTGAATATGTTCAATTTTTTGGATGATCTGATAGTATAAGGTATATTTACATTAAAGTTTATATCAATGATGTCATTGAGCTAGGTCTACCGTTTATAATGATATAACATGTTAAAATACATTGATAGTTATTGCAATTTTTATTTTTTCGCAGCATATATTTAACCTAAGTCGACAACGACGGTACGTATAATGCTGCATCGGCCTCTTGCTTATTCATGATTTTTGTTGAAGATAACTAACTAGGATTTATGTGTTTTATTTTTATTTTTTTCTTCATGTAATTTTTCGACTCAATCTTGTTTAGGGTTTGTGTTAGCGTTTCCAATTTTATTATCTAATCATGTTTTTAAGATAATAATTTAAACCAACATTTATTTTCCTTTAATAAGTCTGTTTCAACAAATTACTATATGTCCTTCATGCGTGTAACGTTTATAATACTATAACATGTTAAAATATATCGATATTTTTTATTTTTTTTCGCAGCATATCTTAAGCCAACGACAGCAGAGAACGTATGGTATGTATTTACTCCAAGAGATCGGAAGTATCCAAATGGTGAAAGACCAGATAGATGTACTGGGAATGGGTATTGGAAAGCTACTGGAGCAGATATAAGTATAAATGATAAAAATAGTAAAATTGGATCGAGAAGAGCTTTAGTTTACCACATTGGAAAGCCTCCAAAAGGAAAAAAAACTGATTGGATTATGCATGAATATATGATTCCTAAAATTCCAATTCCAAATAGTTCTACACCCAGAAATCCCAAGGTACGTTCGATATATTTAATCACTTAAATATCGTATTACACTGTTTAAACTATCTCACTTTATAGTTTACTATTAGTTCTTGAATGTATATGTGGTTTTCTTATTTACTTTATTCCTATATTTAATTGTTCTTTTTTTTTTCTTGCAGTTGGATGAATGGGTTTTGTGTAGGTTCTACAATAAAAATGATGTAATTACCACTAGGTCCACCAGAAGAAAGAGAAAGAGGGGAGATGATGATCCATTTATTGATGAAGTTCATGAGGACTCTACTGGAAACGACCTCACCACAAACTTCAATAACAACGACAATCATGCAATTATGTTTCCCGAGGGTACATATTAAGACCCTATTAGAAACGATCCCACAAACTACTTCATTAACAACAACAATCAAGCAAGAATGTTTTTCCAGGGTACAGATCAGGACTCTATGAGAAACGATCTCACAAACTTTAATAACAACTACAATCATGCAATGTCATTGCACCCTCAAGTTCACACGGGGCTTTCTACCTTACCTCAATACTCTTACATGCCAATCATGTCTAACTATCAAAATTATGTATCTGATCACTACAACAATTATACGGATGGCGCCCCTTTACCTTTGATGATCAAACCTACAGCTACCAACAACTCAATCGAACATGATTACACCATGAACAACGAAGGTTTTGGAGGCGATTATGGTGAGTATCTTGAACATGACCAACATTATGCATTTGATCAATACATTGTGGATAATTACGAGTCACAATATAACACGAACAACTTTGTCAATGGTGAGACTACTACCTCGAACAACTTTGTCAATTGTGAAACAACTAACTCGAACAACTTCATCAATGGTGAGACTACTACCTCGAACAACTTTGTCAATTGTGAAACAACTAACTCGAACAACTTCATCAATGGTGAGACTACTACCTCGAACAACTTTGTCAATTGTGAAACAACTAACTCGAACAACTTCATCAATGGTGAGACTACTACCTCGAACAACTTTGTCAATTGTGAAACAACTAACTCGAACAACTTCATCAATGGTGAGACTACTACCTCGAACAACTTTGTCAATGGTGAGACTAGTACATCAAAGAAAGATTGCTAACATATGTGGTATTTTTACCACACTTGATTAGCTTTAAAATATTAGTTAGATCTAAGTTTTCGCAATTCTGGTTTGATATTTTGATGTAGTGTGAACTGGTGATTTGCCTGAGGTAGCAAATAGTCTACCTCAGGAAAATCTATCCTATTTAGAATTAGTGATACATTTGTTATCTATGTAACATATATTGGGATAATGTGTTACATTATTGATACATTTATGTTTATATGATGTTTTTATATTCATAATTAGTGATTCATTTGTTATATATATATATATATTTGATAACGTTTATATTATGTTTTTATATTCAGAATTAGTGATGCATTTATTATCGATATAACATATATTATTAAATATGAGTGCATATCAAACATTTTGCGCTAACAAAGAGTAGAATGATAAATTAATTATTATTTTCAAGTTGTAATCTAACGAGTTATAGTTTTATTTAATTTAAATTGACTTTTGATGACTGAAATAAAGCAATAGCTTTGTCAATTAACATGTATATTAGGTAGAAATATAACCTTTTGTTCCTTTCACCAATATAAAATAATTAAAAAAAACATTTGACATTTTTGGAATTATTCTTTTTTCACGTGGGAACTAATATGTATCAAAGTCAAACACGATTAAAAAAATATTATTTATCTTATTAAAAAGTAAGAGGATGAGTCCCCACTAACCTACAACAACAAAATATAAATAAATAAAAATCAAGGGAGAGTAATACTTTTGAATTTTGATATCTCAATAATTGATAATTTTCGTTTTGTTCATTGTGATATATGACTCAAAATATTTAATTTTAGTTAATCAAAATAGTGCATTAGGTCTCGTTATGTAAGAAATAATTAGTCATATTTGGATCAATTTTACAATTATATTATCCTAAAATATGAATTGACACATGGCATTAATTAAACGATAAAATGATTAAGAATTTTGAAAACATGAGATGGACATTCGCAGTACTCCTTCATGTCTTGTCTATTCTATTTTTCCGAAAACATGTAGATTATTACTAATTCTGAATAGAATTTTTCATGTGGTGGCAAGTACTACACACATAAATAATTGATGATTAAATAAGCTTAGTCATATACTATAAAAGAGTAGAAACTAAAATTTATCAATAACTGAAAAGCAAAATTTGTTAGTAACTCAATAATCAAAGAAAAATAAATCGAAGTCCTCCTCCATGTCTTTTCTATTTTTTCGAAAGCACGTAAGGTTTTCACTAATTCTGAATAGAATTTTTCATGAGATAACAAGTACTACACATACAGAAATAATTAATGATTAAATAAGCTTAGTCAGAACTCAGATAGTACAAAGACGAAAATTAAAATTTATCAATAATGAAAAAAGGAAAATTTGTTATTATTAACTCAATAAATACATAAAAAAATAAATTCTTCTCATGATGTGGAAGAGATGCGGTGCAATATTAAATATCACAAATAGCATATTCCATGTTGTAAAGAAAAGATTATTAAAACAATATGATATTAATTAATTATTAAAAGTACAAAAAAGATACTTATAATATTATATTTAAATATGAACATTTGACCACAAAAAAATTAGGTGATGATGATTGAAGCCAGCAAGAAAGAAGGAATGGACATAGTTGTTTACCAATATGTTCCCACTACCAAAGATGAAAAAAATAAATTAGTAATTAATCAATGAACAAAAAAAATCCAATATTTTTATAGATTATATTATGAGTAATAGAAAAACAAGAATGCAAGAGTTTTCAAAGATCAAATTAGTAAAATGGCATTATTTTCATCAAGAAATTCATCAAGGTCAAGATCCTCTCTTCCATATTTGGTGTTCCTCTTAATTGCTGCTTTTTTTGTCTTCAAGGTACTCTTCTATTTCTTTAATTAATTAATTATCATCTCAAACATTGAATCTTGTTGATTAATGTTCAATATTGAAAAAAACATCAAGTTCTAATGAATAACTTTTGATAGTAACAATTGAAAATTGACTTGTCGGAAATGTGTTTGCTAGCTATATTTGATGGTATTTGGATAAGAACTTTTGGAATACCCCTTAAATAGTGGTGAAACATGCATTGGCATAAATTTGAATCTTGTTGTTCAATGTTTAATATTGAAAAAACATCAAGTTCCAATGAATAACTTTCGATAGAACAAATTGAAAATTTAACTTGTCGGAAGTGTTTTTGCTAGCTATTTGACGGCATTTCGATCGATAGGAACCTTTAGACCCCTTATAAATAGTAGTTAAATATGCATTGACATGAATTTGAATATTGTTGTTCAATGTTGAGTATTGAAAAACATCAAGTTCCAATGAATAAATTTTGATAGAACCAATTGAAATTGACTTGTCGAAAATATTTCTGTTAGCTATATTTAATGGTATTTCGATAGGAACCTTTGGACCCCTTATAAATAGTGGTTAAACATGCATTAACATAAATTTGAATCTTCTTGTTCAATGTTCATTATTGAAAAATCATCAAGTTCTCAATGAATAACTTCCGATAGAACTAATTGAAAATTGACTTGTCGGAAATGTTTCTGCTAACTATATTTAATGGTATACTATTTCGATACGAACCTTAATTTGAACCCCTTAAATAGTGGTTTCCTTAAATAAACTTGCAATACCATAATTTTGTTTTTATGGAATTCATAGAAATTGACTTGTCAGAAATATTTTCAATGATTTTTTTCGTTCAAAATTCTTGGTTTTTTAATAGTGATTTTAACATCCATTAACATGAAATTATTTAATTACATGAGCAGGTAGATATACTCATATCTCAGTCTTTTAGTTCAGCCCGTCGCAACCTGGAAAAAACTCCTAATCGTATTGTAGTGAACCCCAAAAAATCATCAGAAGAACGTGTTGTTGACAGGTACACGAATCTTTTTTCGCTATTCTTATAAAATGAGTTAGTAATATTTATATGATTATAAATTATCTTATTCAGAGTAACATAAGAAATTTCAAATTAGATTATTTCTACGTATAGAAATAATGTCATTTTTTCAAGACATATTAATAATAGTGATTAACAAATATAACATGTGAGAACTACCCACTTATGTGGCATATATAATGAGCTTTAAAAGAGGGAAGTGTTTACATATAAATTCGGCGTGAATTATGAATATCATTCTTGAACTAATGATAGCTTTAAAAATACCTCTTTACTTGATTAACTGAACTTAAATATACCTCTAAATTCTAATCTTGCAACAATATGAGTGGAATACACCCCTAAATTCTCGTCAAGTTTAGGGTTGCTTTCAATACTTCTCTCGGCTTTTCATTAAGAGTTTCATGCCCCTACAAGAGTTTGAGATTACTTGATATGTCATGTTGCATATCGGGAGTATATCTAAGTTTAATTTGTCAAGTAAAAGGATATTTTTAAGACTATCAATAGTTCGGAACGAAACTAATAATTTACACCAAATTCAGAGGTGTTATCAATACTTCTCTCGCTTTAAAATAAAATAAATAAGAGAATTTAATTAATATACACTGATAAGGTAAAAAAAAAGTATTTTCTTGGTTTTTTAGTATGGCAATCAACTAATTTTTTCTCTTCTTCTTTTTTTGTGAAAATTTGCTGCAGCCTCCCTGTAGTTTTAGTTAATGGTACATTTGACCAGCATATTATGATATCATGGGGAGAAGACAGGGGAAAAATACTTGAAAATGGAGAGTTTTTAACACTCTCCTTAGACAAGTTGTCTGGATCAGGCTTTCAGTCTAAAAAAGAGTACCTCTTTGCTAAAGTTGATATGCAAATTAAGCTCGTCCCCGGAAACTCTGCTGGCACTGTTACTACATTTTACGTAAGCCTTATCTGTTACCTTTGCCTGAAAAAACTTGATTTTTCTTATGTTACACTTCTGGTCCTTCAATTATTGATATATTATGATTTTGGTCCCTGTATTATCTGATTAAGCATATTTGACCTTTGATCAACGAAAATGTGTCTTATCGGTCCATCTATGTGAAAAGCATGACATATTTTGAAAAGAATTCAATTATAGAGTATCATTACAAACTTAACATAACATATCCTTAATTACATAGTGGAGCAATTAACAATTATGTTATACTTTTGATCCTTCAATTATTGGTATATTATGATTTTAGTTCTTCCGTAATTTGACTAAGCATATTTGACTTTCAATTAATAGTGTCTTATCGGTCAATTTATGTGAGAAGTATGACGTATTTAGAGAAATTTTTCGAATTATGTCATCGTCAACTCTGGAATAACAGTACAAACTTAACATGTTTTTTTTCGTCTTTGTTGCAGCTATCATCACAAGGGAACAAGCATGATGAAATAGATTTTGAATTCTTGGGAAATTCAACAGGGAACCCTTATACTCTTCATACTAATGTTTTTAGTCTAGGCCAAGGCAATAGGGAACAACAATTCTTCTTGTGGTTTGATCCAACTGCAGATTATCACACATATTCAATCCTATGGAATTCTAAATGTATTATGTAAGTACTTTTATTATGCTTCGTTCGTTTATTTTTACTTATCCACTATACTAACTTACTTTCTTTCTTTACATTTCTCTTAGTATATACTCCCTCCGTCCATCTCTACTTGTCCATTATACTAAAAATAGTTGTCCAACAATACTTGTTCAGTTTGGAAAATCAAGAGATAATGTATCCTTTTGTGTCTATTTTACCCTTGTTGTTAAATGCTAATCAATATCTAATACATTTCTCAAAGTATTAAATTTAATATATTTACCTCTGTTACTTATTGTTTCTTGAAGTGTGTCAAGTCAATAGTGAACAATATTGTTGGACAGAAGAGTATGTTTACTTTGCTTTAGAAAATTCCACTTCAAGCCATTTTTTTCCTTAAAGTTTACCTAAGCTAGTTAATTACATGATCCATTTTCATATTGATGGATGGGATGACAATTTATCTCTTTATCAATACTTACCTCGTGAACTAGTTTTGGGATTGAGTTATGCTTAATATCCATTATTTTTCATGATTTCATAATCAGACCAACTCAATTCTTGTTTCACCTGATGTTGGACCTTCATATTCTCTTGTCCACATTTTAGTTGTCAGACCTCGGCGTTCTAAGAGAGGGGAAGGGTGTAAGTAGTCCTACCTTGGTAGCTGGGATGCTAATTCATCTCCTTTCATAGTCTTGAATCCTTACCACTTGAGCTAGCTATCAGAATATATATTCTATATTTATTGCAATTTCCAAAATATTATACATTTTCTTATGAGATATTTCCTCTTTTTTTGAATGTAGATTCTACGTTGATGGTATACCAATTAGAGAGTACAAGAATCTAGAGAGACTTGGTGTGTCATATTTAAAATTCCAACCAATGAGACTATACTCAAGTCTATGGAACGCAGATGATTGGGCTACACAAGGTGGCCGTGTCAAAACCAATTGGAAATTAGCACCTTTTGTAGCGTCCTACAAAAATTTCACATATGAAGCTTGTATTTATTCAAGATTAACTAGCTCGTCTTCATGTGATATAGACTCTCCTCCTTCTACCAACAACGCTTGGTTAACATATGAGTTAGATCGAAGAAGTCGTGTTAGAATGAAAGCATTGCAGAAAAAACATATGATTTATGATTATTGCAACGATAAATGGAGATTTCCTAAAGGTCCTGCTCCTGAATGCAAGCTTCTTCAATAACATTATAATTTTTTGTTTATTATGTATAAGGTTTTTACATATTTTGAATTTTTGAATTTTAGGTTTAAATTTCCTATTAGAAAAGAAAAAAAAGGAACATTTTGGTTCCCTTTTTAGAAATTAAAAGTTACTAAGTATTAGTTTGGGCCATTGGGCCTAGCTAGAACTTCGCGTTGTATTTGTGAAATATGATTTATTATAAGTTGTATTCATTAATATGCGCGATTTTAAAAATGCGCTAACGCAATTTATATGTCGCATATGAAAGTTATATCATTTATTTTGAGAAACAATTTGTTGTTTTCATTGACCATTAATATTTTGTAACATGAACATTGCATAAATATTTAAATACCGATTTATTAGTTATTGATTTTCTAGCTGTCTGCATTGACCCATTAAAAGATCTTTCTAGTTAAAATATAAAATATATAATATATGGTTTTTCAACTAGAAAGTAACATGTGAAAAGAAAATAGGGAATGTACTAGAAAATAAGGAAATATAATTCATTGGTTCTTAGAATTTTCTACATGAGCCAATAGAATATCCTAGAGTTTTCCCCTTCTCTCTTGCCTATGTATTCCCCATCGATTATTTTTTCCAGTCTTCTATATCTGTATTGAAGCTCGACTATTTCGAATTTCAAATTTTTCATAGACATGTTCCTTGTAAAAAATTATATCGGCATTATGAATTTCTTTTTTGTTTCTTAGATGATCTGATTATGTAAATATTTGTCTATATTATTGGTGCATAGAATTATTATTTTTATCTCGATATGGCTCCTATATAGAAAAATGAAAGATATAGAATGTTCTGCTTGGAGTAGATTCAAGTTCAAAGCATTTCGTAGATGTTTATATAATAACAAAATGTAATTAAAGTCAAAATATAATATTTAAAAATTAAAGTTATGTCTGAATATAAATTTTACTCCAATTATAATATTTAAAAATTAAAGTTATATCTGAATATAAATATAAAGTTATATATATATAGTGTATAATATTAAAATTTTGCCACATCGAAAAGAAAAGTAGGTGAAGAGTTGTATTTGCCATTAGATTAAGTCCTTTTATCTTGTTAGATAAGTACTTAATTAGTTTTGCCAACCTATCTATTGACAGCCTCAAAAGTTAATGTTTTTACAACTTGTAAATCTTGACTATACATTAATTAAAGGAGAAAGAGTCCCTACTATTTTATTCTTACGATTTAAATTCAAGATTTAGAATTAAAAATGAATTATACTAATTTCATAACGATTTTCGTGAAAGTGTTATAAAGGCTTACAATAATAATAGTATATCCAATGAAATCCTGAAATCTGAAGAGGATAAAATAATGTTATCAACTCATTTTCAAAATTTATGAACTACCTCAAGACAATATAAAAATGGTAAAGTGTTTATCTTCTCCAAGAAAACTAAAAAGTCCAAAAACCATGTCAACTTTATGAATAAGAATTTGTAGCTTGTTTACATGATGATGTGTAATGATGACTAAACTATTTTATGAACTTTGCTAAACCATCAAATTAAGCCACATCAGATACATGGGGCCCACCCACTATTATAGTGGATGCCACCTGTCCTACTCCATTACCAAAATGGCCCCTCCAATTTCTAAGAACTTTCTTTAGGTTCTAACAATTTTCATCCCTATATATAGTGTATGGATACAAATTTACATGTATACAAACTTTGACTTGTGAAAAACAAATCAAGAAAGATCACTAAAATTGAACCAAATATTTAATGGCTTCCTTAGTTCTTTGTTTGGTCAGTTTTGCATTTTGCTTTTTGCATTATAGTTTGGCTTCTAATAATTTCAATCAAGATTTTGATGTTACATGGGGAGATGGTAGGGCAAAAGTTTTAAACAATGGCAAACTTCTTACTCTTTCCCTTGACAAAGTTTCTGGCTCTGGTGTTAAATCCAAGAAAGAGTATTTGTTTGGAAGGATTGATATGCAACTTAAGCTCGTGCGTGGAAATTCAGCTGGTACAGTTACTACATATTATGTAAGTATTACATACGTTTAAAGCTAACGTGACTTATGTTATTAGTGATACATCATTTAAACTACACCAAGAATTAAAGTCATATGACAATTTATTATTTTGAATATCATATGAATTACTAAGAATTTGTTTTATATCAAATTTATATGTAGTTATCATCACAAGGGTCAACACATGATGAGATAGATTTTGAATTCTTGGGAAACCTTAGTGGAGATCCTTATATTGTTCATACAAATGTGTATACTCAAGGCAAAGGTGACAAGGAACAACAATTCTACTTATGGTTTGATCCCACTGCTGATTTTCATACATACTCCATTCTATGGAATCCACAAACAATTATGTAAGTACATAAAAGATCTCTGTATACTTTTACTTATCCACTTTGAATTTTACATGTCTCTTAAAAAAATATAATATAAATATTTTATTATAATACTCATATTTATAGTCTTAGATCTTGAGAAGTGATCTCTCCCCCAGAGTTCTCATATTTGCTCCCTTGATAACTCGAACTTATAACCTTTCCCAGAGCTCTCATCTTTTCTCCCTTGGTGGCTCAGACTTATAACCTTCCCCAGAGCTCTCATCTTTGCTCCCTTGATGACTCAAACTTACAACCTTAAGGTTGGAAGTGATCAGGATGCTTACCATCTGATCAACTCTCTTTTGTCAGTAATTAATTAATAGTGTTAAGGGTAAAACATGAAAAATAATTATATTTTCTTGATATGTTAAAAGTGACTAGTAAAATTAAAAATTCTATTATTAAAATCGGGAACAAGTAAAAATAAACAGGAAAAATGGGTATCTCCTTAGTACTTAATAGAATCAAAAGTTCAAAATATACAAAGTCAATATGAAGATCTCTCTTGTTTTTTCCACCCTAAAGTTCTACAAATTTAAACTTTATCTTAATATTGGCTTATTTATTTATTTATTTTTGTAGATTTTATGTGGATAGCACACCAATAAGAGTGTTCAAAAACATGAAGTCAAGTGGAGTACCTTACCCAAATAACCAACCTATGAGAGTCTATGCAAGTCTATGGAATGCAGATGATTGGGCCACCAGAGGTGGCCTTATTAAAACAAATTGGTCCAATGCTCCATTCATTGCTTCTTTTAGAAATTTCAAAGACAATAATGCTTGTATTTGGGAATTTAGAAAATCCTCATGCACAAATTCAACAAAGTCATGGTTCTCTCAAGAACTTGATTCTACAAGCCAAGCTAGGTTACAATGGGTGCAAAAGAACTATATGGTTTACAATTATTGTAATGATATCAATAGGTTCCCTCAGGGGATTCCTCTAGAGTGCACTTTCAACTCTACGACTAGTTAAATCTAATTTTTCAGACTCTTTTAAAATGTTATCATATGCGTGTCAGATTTGACACGCATATGCAATCGGCATTTTTTAAGAGTATGAGTAATATCGATTCTATTGGTGTTGGTAATTAATTATTATATTCCACTTGTAATTTACTAAATTCATTTCCACATATATCTAATAATTTTGAAATAGGATTATGTAATAAAATGTAATGTTACAAGAATATGACAATTGCAAGGCATATAGAAATTCTTTTGTCTTTTTTTTTTTTTAATTATCTTTGAGTTTTGTAATAAATGAAGTTTGATTCAGAATTTGTTAAAGCTTCTTTGACATGTGTTTGTTTTAATAGGTAAATTATAATTTGAGTATATTTTTCTATTTTGCATTGACGGCTAGAAATCCAAATAATTACCAAAAAACACTTCGCGTTTAATTACTATTTTATCCATCTAAATTGTTGTCAAACTTTAGCCATGTATTGTCAGTTTAAATATTAGTGTATTGTATCATTTAAATTCATCATTATGTAATGATAAAAAGATTCATTTTAACGATTGATTTTGTGTGATCGCGTGATTACCTTAATATATATTTTCTTCTTATTGCTGATCCCTCGGACCGCCCGAATCCCACAAGTGAATCGAAAGTTGGATCTACATTAGATCTCACCCAAATGGTCCCATCTATCCTCTTGAGGAGGAGTTTGGTTTCAAACCCCGATTCGAACAGGAGGAGTACGCCATGCTAATGTGTCTTGGATGATCCACGTCTCAGGGTCAAGTTCCGATGAGCACATTGAACTATTCATGTGGCTGAGAGCCCTCACAGTGCAGGCACAACGACGCAATTATCAGGGCCTTTTTATCTTTATATATTATTTAATAATTATATTTTATTGGGAAAAATGATAAATATACATCTAAACTATTATAAATGGTATGTTAATATCCTTTGCTATACTTTAGGGCTATTCATATCCTTACCGTTAATATTTTAGGCATCATTATCCATTAAAACCAAGTTAAGAATCATGTTTATATATTATGTCTGACCACATGAATTTCCATTAAATGTAAGGTCCAATCAAGAAAATCTTGAGACTAAATATTAAAAAATCTATTAAAAGTTAGGTCCAATGAAATAGGCAAACAAAAAGATGTTTGTCATCATTTTTTAAATTTTATATAATTCATTCACATGATAATCTAGAGAAGCAAGAAGGTCACAAGAGGATGACACGTAGCTAAATGTTGTTGATGAGTCATATATTGCTGAAATATAAGTCAGAGTAATCAAGTGATCCCTCGGCACTAGGCACCAAACCTATCATTTCTTCCCAATTTCCACTACTATATATATATATATATATATATATATATATTACTTCTTCCGTTTTATTTTGTGTGAGATAGTTTAACTCTATCAATATTCAGTTTCAAATGGAATTAAAAATCGAGGAAGTTCTTTATTCGGACAGAATGTAAGACACGTCTTTTTTTAAGAAAAGACGCCTGATTCGGGGGAGTTTAAGAAAGAAAAGAAGATTTTTAAAATTTGTAATATAAAATGAATGATAAAAATTTGTGTGGCTATAAATCGTTTCATTAAAGGATAAAATGGATATTTTAAAATTAATATGTATCATTCTTTTTGGGACTAATAAATTATATAAACTAAGATCGGGGGAGCATTGTATTCTTCCTTCTTACTTTATCAACCAGGCCAATATTAGCGTGTATACATATTTTATTTTTATTTTATTTATAAAAATAAAAGAAAATATTTCTGAAAATATAGAAATGACAATAACAATGACAACGAAAATAAAGTGAGCTAGATAGAGAGCAATGTATATGGAAGAAAACAAATAGTATAATGGTAATGAAATCATACAATATCCAAACACAAATAATATAAGTGATCATTAATTAAAATTAAAAAAATAAGAAATTACTAAAAAAATATTAATACTATTGATAAAAAAAAAATATAGTACACATTGGAGTAATCTTGAACAAACCATTATATATATATTTAAAAAATTTAAACCATTTTTTATTTCACAAACTTACCTTATCTCCTCAGCTACATTATATATAATAAAAAATACTAAATAGCAAGCTGTTGCCAACTCTTTATTTTTCAGATGGCATTCATTGAACCACCCTTTCTGGACACAATTTTGTCTCTTTTCATCTAAAATTCACTATAAAAAGGCAAATTATATTCATTCTACTTTTAATATATTCTCAAATTAAAAAAAAATCCACTTAAAATAACAATGCCTTCTCTATTTTCCTTTAATATTAGACTTATTTTGATACCAGTATTTATAAGTTGTATGGTTGTTGAATATTGTGCTAGTAATGATCTTAATCAAGATTTTGATATTACATGGGGAAATGAAAGGGGGGAAATATTAAATAATGGTGAAATACTTACTCTTACACTTGATAATATTTCAGGTTCTGGATTTGAATCAAAGAAGGAATATTTATTTGGAAAAATTGATATGCAAATCAAATTAGTTCAAGGAAATTCTGCTGGCACTGTCACTGCTTACTATGTAATATTTTATTTTATTTTTACAAAAAAAAAATCAAGAAAATTGATTATTTGTGTTAATTGTTATGTTTTGTGATGTTGATTTTTTGTTTTTTTGTTTTGATTTAGTTGTCATCAAAAGGATCAAATCATGATGAGATAGATTTTGAGTTTCTTGGTAATGTGAGTGGAGAGCCATATACACTTCATACAAATGTGTATACACAAGGCAAAGGTGAAAGAGAGCAACAATTTCACTTGTGGTTTGATCCTACTAATGATTTTCATATTTATTCCATCCTTTGGAATCCACAAACTATTGTGTAAGTACTCTAAAACAATATTTTATTTTATAACAAAGTTATATTACTCTGTTTATCTTTACTTGTCCACTATATTAAAAACAGTTGTCCACTATATTAAAAACAGTTGCCTAACAATACTTGTCTAATTTGAAAAATTTGAAAAATCAAAAGATAATTTATCCTTTTGTGTCTGTTTTATCACTATTATTGAATATTATGTATTCAATATATTCTTTAAAACATTAAATTTAATATATTTAAAAAAGGATAATATAATAATATTATCTAATTATTTTTTAAGGTATGTATCAAAGATCAATAGTGCATAAATATGGTTGGACAGAGGAAGTATCATTTTTTTTCTTCTTGAAATGTGTTTTGCTTACTATGAAAATATTTACTAGGCGCTACGTGTATTTCACTCTTAACGAGAGATCTCAAGTTTGTAATTATGTCTCTTTGAATCTTGAGTCAAAGACATTATATATAGGAAACTATTGGACACTTTGAAATGAAAAAGTATATTTAAAAATTAAAGTTATATTTTAATATGTTATAGCAATAATATATAGTATAAATAACTCTAATTATCTTTTAGATGATCTGACGGTGAAAAATTATTGCAATTTTTTTCAGATTCTCAGTGGACAATGTACCAATAAGGGAGTTCAAAAATATGGAAAACATAGGAGTTGCATTTCCAAAATCTCAATCAATGAAACTTTATTCAAGTTTATGGAATGCTGATGAATGGGCCACAATGGGAGGGCTTATCAAGACTGATTGGGCCCAAGCCCCATTTACAGCCTCTTATAGAAATTTCAATGCCAATATTTGCAATAATAATAATAATTCTTGCAAATTTTTGGTAGAAAATTTGGATCCTGTGAATGAAGAAAAATTGAGAAGGGTGCAACAAAAATACATGATATATAATTATTGTACTGATAATAAGAGATTTCCTCAAGGTTTTCCTCCAGAGTGTAGTGCCACTTAAATTAATTAATTAATGTAGGTAGAAAAGTTGGTATAATAATTTTAATAGCCTCCTCTAGTTTTGTCTCTTTTAAGTTTATATATTGTGGCCTAAGTGGTAAGGGAGGAGTGTTGTAATATTTCTATGTTAGGTTTTTAATATTGAAAGTTGAAAGTATTATGTACTTATAATTATTGTCATGTGTTTGGTAGCCATCGAATTTATACTGAATATGTTGTTGTTTTGTTAATAATAGCTAGCGTAAATTGAAGTGTTCGCTTTGTGTAGATGTTTTTTATGTTGTTTCTGTCTTTGATATTTTTTTTTATACAACTAGATACAGTGTCTAAGTGGTTTACTTAAAAAAATTTAACAAGAATAAGTAGGGAGGTCAAATCTTATCTTATTGATTCTAATGAGGTAACAAAGTAATATATTAAATCTGTTAGTAAATTTTGTTTAGGCATTTTAACTATGACATGTTTACTTTTAATTTAAATTTTGAAAATTTGAATTGAAAATGTCTAATAAGAACATTTTATCTTGTGTTGAGATGTTTGATTGATATTGTCATTACTTCGACTGTCTAAATGAAATTTAATGATGGTCATAATGAAATTAATGTACCACTGATAAATTTTAATGTTTGTTGACATATTGAGCCTTGGCTTATATACTTTTGTAAAAGAGCAAAATCAATTCTTCAAGTACACATTACTTTTAGGGGAAATTATCAAATCAATAAGAAATTATTATCTTATCTCTTCTCTTATCCTTTCAATACCTCATGTTGTTATAGCTAGGCAACTTGTTATATATATATATATATATATATATATATATATATATATTTAG